TTAATCAAATAAATTTTATTATAGCACATTATTTCTTCCAACTCAAAGATTTTTATATAGACTTATACAATTCTATTATTGCTCATTAGTTTTATATAATTTCTGATATCTTCTTCCATTTCAAGGTTTATTTAATCAAATAAATTTTATTATAGCACATTATTTCTTCCAAATCAACGATTTTTATATAGACTTATACAATTCTATTATTGCTCATTAGTTTTATATAATTTCTGATATCTTCTTCCATTTCAAGGTTTATTTAATCAAATAAATTTTATTATAGCACATTATTTCTTCCAACACAAAGATTTTATATAGACTTATACAATTCTATCATTGCTCATTAGTTTTATATAATTTCTGATATCTTCTTCCATTTCAAGGTTTATTTAATCAAATAAATTTTATTATAGCACATTATTTCTTCCAACTCAAAGATTTTTATATAGACTTATACAATTCTATTATTGCTCATTAGTTTTATATAATTTCTGATATCTTCTTCCATTTCAAGGTTTATTTAATCAAATAAATTTTATTATAGCACATTATTTCTTCCAACTCAAAGATTTTTATATAGACTTATACAATTCTATTATTGCTCATTAGTTTTATATAATTTCTGATATCTTCTTCCATTTCAAGGTTTATTTAATCAAATAAATTTTATTATAGCACATTATTTCTTCCAACTCAAAGATTTTTATATAGACTTATACAATTCTATTATTGCTCATTAGTTTTATATAATTTCTGATATCTTCTTCCATTTCAAGGTTTATTTAATCAAATAATTTTTATTATAGCACATTATTTCTTCCAACTCAAAGATTTTTATATAGACTTATACAATTCTATTATTGCTCATTAGTTTTATATAATTTCTGATATCTTCTTCCATTTCAAGGTTTATTTAATCAAATAAATTTTATTATAGCACATTATTTTTTCCAACTCAAAGATTTTTATATAGACTTATACAATTCTATTATTGCTCATTAGTTTTATATAATTTCTGATATCTTCTTCCATTTCAAGGTTTATTTAATCAAATAAATTTTATTATAGCACATTATTTCTATTAACTCAAAGATTTTTATATAGACTTATACAATTCTATTATTGCTCATTAGTTTTATATAATTTCTGATATCTTCTTCCATTTCAAGGTTTATTTAATCAAATAAATTTTATTATAGCACATTATTTCTTCCTACTCAACGATTTTTATATAGACTTATACAATTCTATTATTGCTCATTAGTTTTATATAATTTCTGATATCTTCTTCCATTTCAAGGTTTATTTAATCAAATAAATTTTATTATAGATCATTATTTCTTCCATCTCAACGATTTTTATATAGACTTATACAATTCTATTATTGCTCATTAGTTTTATATAATAACAGACATTATAAATAACAGACATTATTTATAACTAATGAGCTATAATAGAATATATTTGTTTAAATAAATCTCGAACTGGAAGAAGATAACAAAATTATTTATAACTAATGAGCTATAATAGAATATATTTGTCTAAATAAATCTCGAACTGGTATAAGATAACAGACATTATTTATAACTAAAGAGCTATAATAGAATATATTTGTCTAAATAAATCTCGAACTGGAAGAAGATAACAGACATTATATATAACTAATGAGCTATAATAGAATATATTTGTCTAAATAAATCTCGAACTGGCATAAGATAACAAACATTATTTATAACTAATGAGCTATAATAGAATATATTTGTCTAAATAAATCTCGAACTGGCATAAAATAACAGACATTATTTATATCTAATGAGCTATAATAGAATATATTTGTCTAAATAAAGTTCGAACTGGCATAAGATAACAGGCATTATTTATAACTAATGAGCTATAATAGAATATATTTGTCTAAATAAATCTCGAACTGGCATAAGATAACAGACATTATTTATAACTAATGAGCTATAATAGAATATATTTGTCTAAATAAATCTCGAACTGGAAGAAGATAACAGACATTATTTATAACTAATGAGCTATAATAGAATATATTTGTCTAAATAAATCTCGAATTGAAAAGATATCAGACATTATTTATAACTAATGAGCTATAATAGAATATATTTGTCTAAATAAATCTCGAAATGAAAAGATATCAGACATTATTTATAACTAATGAGCTGCAATAGAATATATTTGTCTAAATAAATCTCGAAATGAAAAGATATCAGACATTATTTATAACTAATGAGCTATAATAGAATATATTTGTCTAAATAAATCATGAACAGGCAGAAGATAACAGACATTATTTATAAATAATGAGCTATAATAGAATATATTTGTCTAAATAAATCTCGAAATGAAAAGATATCAGACATTATTTATAACTAATGAGCTATAATAGCTATATTTGTCTAAATAAATCTCGAAATGAAAAGATATCAGACATTATTTATAACTAATGAGCTATAATAGAATATATTTGTCTAAATAAATCTTGAAAATGAAAAGATATCAGCCATTATTTATAACTAATGAGCTATAATAGAATATATTTGTCTAAATAAATCTCGAACTGGCAGAATATAACAGACATTATTTATAACTAATGAGCTATAATAGAAAATATTTGTCTAAATAAGTTCGAACTGGCATAATATAACAGACATTATTTATAACTAATGAGCTATAATAGAAAATATTTGTCTAAATAAGTTCGAACTGGCATAATATAACAGACATTATTTATAACTAATGAGCTATAATAGAATATATTTGTCTAAATAAATCATGAACAGGCAGAAGATAACAGACATTATTTATAAATAATGAGCTATAATAGAATATATTTGTCTAAATAAATCTCGAAATGAAAAGATATCAGACATTATTTATAACTAATGAGCTATAATAGCTATATTTGTCTAAATAAATCTCGAAATGAAAAGATATCAGACATTATTTATAACTAATGAGCTATAATAGAATATATTTGTCTAAATAAATCTTGAAAATGAAAAGATATCAGCCATTATTTATAACTAATGAGCTATAATAGAATATATTTGTCTAAATAAATCTCGAACTGGCAGAATATAACAGACATTATTTATAACTAATGAGCTATAATAGAAAATATTTGTCTAAATAAGTTCGAACTGGCATAATATAACAGACATTATTTATAACTAATGAGCTATAATAGAATATATTTGTCTAAATAAATCTCGAAATGAAAAGATATCAGCCATTATTTATAACTAATGAGCTATAATAGAATATATTTGTCTAAATAAATCTCGAAATGAAAAGATATCAGACATTATTTATAACTAATGAGCTATAATAGAAAATATTTGTCTAAATAAGTCTCGAACTGGCATAATATAAAAAACATTATTTATAACTAATGAGCTATAATAGAATATATTTGTCTAAATAAGTCTCGAACTGGCATAAGATAACAGACATTATTTATAACAGACATTATTTATACAAATTAATAATATATTATGCCAAATTATTATAATAAATTGTATAATTCTTATACAAAATTAGTATTCTGTGCATCTTGTTTACGATTTATTATGACAAATTTATAATATATTATGTCAAATTATTATAATATGTAAATTGTATAATTCTTATACAAAATTAGTATTCTGTGCATCTTGTTTACGATTTATTATGACAAATTTATAATATATTATGTCAAATTATTATAATAAATTGTATAATTCTTATACAAAATTAGTATTCTGTCATCTTATTTACGATTTATTATGACAAATTTATAATATATTATGCTAAATTATTATAATAAATTGTATAATTCTTATACGAAATTGTGCTATCTTGTTTAAAATTTATTATGACAAATTTATAATATTTTATGCCAAATTATTATAATAAATTGTATAATTCTTTTTGCTACACAACCCACCCGAAAGGATGTTCACTCCAGTAATCCATGTGGGAATGTTAATTTTTGTGCTCATTTTTCCATTAATATCCGAACTTATCATATTCGTATTCTAAACATTATTTTTAAAAACAAAGTTGAATTTAATAAAATAACTTCTCTAAAATTTTTAATTAATAAAATAAATTTAATTGATTAATTAAATCAATATATAAATTTCACTATTCAATGTCACACATAATATTTTATGCCAAATTATTAAAATTTATTATGACAAATTTATAATATTTTATGCCAAATTATTATAATTTGGGGGATTTATTGAATTTTCTCCTCGTGGATGCTCTTTATTAATCAAAGGCCTATTCAAATCCTTCTCCGGTATTTGAAGTCATTGTTATTTTAAAATTGGGTTGTTCTGTTGTAACCAGAGCTAGTTTATGGTCGTTTGTGGATCCGGCTCCTACCATATTCCAATCTTTCTCCGGAATCGGTTATTTTCGAATTATTTCATTCTGGGATTTAGTATTTTATTGTGTGATTTAGGTTGTTTATGGGGATATCCGGGATATAGGGAAGCGCTTACGACGACTGAAGACTATTTTTGAAACTAACCGGATTGTCAACCTAACCTACCCCCATTGAAACCTATTTAGATGTTTGACAGTCTATGTGTTGTTGGCAGTCCATGTGTTTGTTTGGCATACATACCTACCAATGCTCTATCACTCCTAGACGTTTTATTTCCCTCATATTTACTCCCCAAGCAGACAAAAATTGTAGTGGAAGAGAGAATTTTAAAGAAAAGGAGAGAGGTGGAAGAGGAAGGAGGTGGAAGAGGGGGAGGGAGGTCTGAGGGGGAGGAGGTGGAGGGGAGGGGGGTCTTAAAAATAATTTTTCAGCAATCAATTATAGACGCTCGCGTTTTGTTTCTCAGAAGTTGTCAATGTAAAGAATAAGAAGAATCCCTTCATTTTAGCGTCTCACCTCTCGTAAAAATCCATTTTAAATTTAAGAAAAAATTCAAAAAAAATTTAAATTTAATTAATTTAGACAAAAATTGTCAATAATGTTGCCAAACATTTGTTGGCATTTCTCCATATTTTATTGTTTTATAATGTTATTGGCTATTTTTGATGACAATTCCTCAGCTAATGCTAGTTTTTTTAAATCTAAAAGAAGCCATGTTGGTTATCAAAAATTAGAAAAAGTGGACGATGAAGCTGAAAATGGGGAATTGGAGAACGAGGGGAAACAACCCAAAATTGATTATGAGGAAAAGTTTAAAGAAATGGAAGTTGAAGCAAAACTTGTTGGAAATTTTGAGAAATATAAGAAAATAGCTCTTGGTTTTATTGAAACTATAACAGATTTCGAAAATATAGACAAATATATAGCCAAATTTGATGATCTAAAAACTTTAGATAAAGAAATTCTAAAATTCTTTAAAAATGCCCCATCTTTTAAAAAATTTATAGATCATTTCAGCAAACGTTACCAAGCTATAAACACGTCTAAAAATACGTCGAAAACACTCAAGAAAAATTTTGAGGTTTGTTTATACATATTTTATTTAAACATTTAATCCGTTTATTAGAAGTTCATTTAGAAGCTTCTAAAAGAGTGCCAATTGTAAAGCGTATAGCTATTAATTTCCCAAAGCAGTGCTGAAGAGGAACCAGCATCTACTGAAGACGCTGGTTCACTCCCAGCCGCCGATTAACCACTTGCACTAGCTAAAGGAGAGAAATAGCTATAGCCCAGCTGCTTTACACAATAAAGCTCTAATACGCAATATGTAATGTGTTTCCTAACAATTAGGGTTGGCGAATTTTTGGAAAGGTTTCGTGTTGATATTGTTAAAAAATTTATCTAAAATTTTACAAAACTCAGTGTGTAGATTCATAAATTAAAATTTTTGAAAAATTTTTTTTAGAAATTGGGTAACAATCTGAAAGGATTGGATGAAGAAAATTTTTCAAATTTTTTGGACAAAATAGAAATGTGTATGGAGGAAAGCTATAAAAGTATCTACAAAATTTTCGAAAAGAACGAAGCTTTGAAAAAAAATTCGAAAGAAATATGCGGGCATATGTTGCCCTATACAAAGAATCACATTAACCTTGAAATTTCTCTTGGCGAAGAATTGAGTAAAGCCTTGCAAGGTGCCAAGGGAGATAATAAGCAAGAGATTTCGGATAAATTGAACTCGATTAAGGAAAAAGAAGATGAAGACTTGAAACAATTTTTTGATAAATTTGAGAAGAAAAAGGATAGCTTTATTAATCGTCAATTGAAGAAATTCGAGAAAAAGAACAAAAATTATCAAAAATTGGGTAAAAAAGGAAATTAAATGTTGTAAAAAAACCTGTACTTTTCCGTTATATCTTTGCCCACAATGGAGCTAAAGTATGATTTTCTGCTTTTTAGAAACAAAAGTTCAAGTTTAGTGCGTCTTATATGTATCTTTTGGGTGACTAAAGCTCCTTATTCCCATAAAAATTTTTATGAGACCCCACCCTTATCATTCTTTCCAAAAATCAGACATAAATTTTAAAATACCATCAAAGCTGACAAAAATTCAATGATATTTTTCTTATATTAAAGTTTTTTATTAACTTAATCCTTTACCATAATTCAATTTGACCATTTTATAAGAAAGGAAATATGTAAATAAAAGAAATTGTGGGGATATAATGGAAAAGTATCAGGAAAAATATGTCACACAAATTATGTGGTCAACTCCCTGTCTTGTGTGTTCAGCTCTCCGTCTACATGTCCGCAGAAGCACCTGTGACAATATTTTCATTTTATTTTTATTTTTTTATTATTTATTATTACTATTTTATATACAACATGAAAGAGTTATCTTTTCTTTAAGAAAGGGATGATTCGACTAACTGTCGCTTTCACTGGATTTAAACGATCCTAACAACATTACACAACACCACCCATTAGTCTTGTAAATATTCCCCTTCAAAATCGTCACACAAAATTGTTTTATATTTGCGGGCCACTTTAAGTAAAGCAGCTGAGCTATAGCTATTTTTCTCCTTCAGCTGTTCGAAAGTACCTTCAAGTACCTAGACCGGAATGATGTGTTATTTAGTACACCACACCGCCTACCAAAGAGCCTTAGGAAATAAATAGCTATATGATTTACATTTATTTATCGTCCAATTTGTGTTTTTTACTTTTTAAATTTAAAAAACTTTCTAAAAATATTTTATTTGATTTTTTAAATTATTCATCAAATTGTACTATTTTATATTTTTAACAAAAGCATAAATTCATTTAAATTTATCTTATTTTTAAATTAAAAATAAACAATTCAAGAATTATTTTTAAAAATTATAAAAACATTAATTCAACAATTTTGGAAGAATATTAGTAAATGTTTGGGTAATTATATTGTTGTAAAATTAATTTCAAACTAAACAAAATTACTAACAAATTCACTTCTATTTACAACATCGTTTTAATTAAATTCGATGTTGAATTTAATAAATTAATATTTTAAAATTTTTAATTAAATCAATATAAAATTTCTCTATTAAAAGTCACACTCAATTTTAGGGAAGGCATGCGTGCGTTTTTGGCATTTACTTCTCGTGGATGCCCTTTAATGAAGATGTTTGATGGCGCTTGTCGAGGCCGCCTAAACATAAATTCTAAATTAATTTCTAATTATTTATATTAGTAGGATCTCAATATGTTCACGGCCCCGAGCGACCAACAACTCAATTCCAGAGGAAAGAGGACCCAAATTTCCAATACTCAAAATTCCAATTGCCATAATTTATTTTTATTTTCATTTTTCGCTTTAAGTATTTCCAATCAATATTAATGTTAATAGAAATCCTTAGACTTTGTTCCTTTTCTCCTTCCTCTTTTGTTTGTAAAATGTTTGAGAAAGAAGCGGTGTAATAAACATTAAAAGGAACGCACTCTCCGATCGGGTAGAGGGCACCTCTCGAGGTGAAGAGGTTCCGTTTAGCCGCTATTACACCGCTTGGGAAAGTTTTAATGTTTAGATAAACACTGTCCAAGACAAACATAATCAAGAAGTTCTGGCTCCATGTCGAACCCCTCATCCTTGTGGATGCCTTCATGTTAAAGTGCATCCACGAGGAGTGAATCTCAAAAATTGAGTTGATTTAGAACAGAGATATTGACTCTGTTTAAACATTGTTTTAATTAACTACAATGTTGAAGTTAATAAATTAATATTTTAAAATTTTTAATTAATTAAATCAATATAAAATTTCTCCATACAAAGTCACACTCCATTTTTGGGAAGGCATGCGGGCGTTTTTGCCATTCACTTCTCGTGGATGCCCTTTAATGAAGATGTTTGATGGCGCATGACAATTGATTGTTGTTTGATTGGTTGTCAATAAACAATCGATGCGTGCGTTTTTGGCATTACATTCAAACACTGGGCAGGAATGAGGGAACTTCTCGTTTTCCATAATCTCCTAAATCAAGCATATCTAACAAAAACAGTACCGTTCGAGAATCAGAAGAAATCTGTCTCCTTTCATGTTCCTAGACATTTCTCATGTTCCTAAAAGTTTTAATTTCCTCAGTTTCTCTCCCCTACAACAGTTGAAAATTTTAGAGGGAGAAAATAGAATTTAAAAAGGTGGAGCCTTGAATAATTTTTGGCAGTCAAAATTTTAGAGGCGTGCGTTTTACCCTTGAGAAGAAGGCGTGCGTTTTTTTAAAGGCGTGCGTTTACCCTTGAGAAGCCTCGCGTCTTATTAGCCATGCCATTTCCCTCGTTAACCTCTCTTTAAAATCAATTTATTTTTTTTTAATTTTTTTTTCTATTAAAAATTAAATTTTAATTAATTTAAAGAAAAAGTGGCAAAAATGCTATTTGGAAATTCTCCGAGTTTCTATGCGTTTTATTGTTTAGTAATCTTATTGGCTATTTTTGTTGCCAATTCCTCGGTTAATGCAGGTGTTTTGAAATTTGAAAGAAGCCATGATGGCTATCAAAAATTGAAAAATGAAGGAGAACATGAAGTTGAAACAGGGAAGTTGGAAAGTGGGGGTAAACAAGGTAAAAATATTCCTAAGGAAAAGATGAAACAAATGAATGAGGAGGCATTCGAAATTGGAAATTTTAAGAAATATAAGAATGTTGCACTTCCTTTTATTGAAACTATGACAGATTATAAAAATATATCCAACTATCTAAACATAATTATTGAAGTAAAAGCGCTCGATGCACAAATTCTGACATTCTTTAAGAATGTTTCAACGTTTAAAAATTTTGTAAATTATTTTACCAAACGTTACAACTTTATAAGCAAGTCAAAAGAGGCGTCGAAAGTAATAAAGGAAAAATTTGAGGTAAGTTTATTTCTTAAGGAAAGAAGGTCAAAAGTTTAGAAGGTAGCGATCGGTCGCTGCTATTAGAAGGTGATGTCAGGGACCTGGTGTTTTTCTTGATATTTGGATCCGTAAGGTTGCAGGATGCCTGCTTGGAGCTTAACTTATGTGAAAAAATTAAAAGTTGAAAATTAAACATTCTAATTAAATCCAACTGACGTTTATTTATCAGTGGGTCTTGTTAGTGGGCGGGCTTCTAATATAGAGCATGAGATTAGGGCTAAATTACATGTTATTGTTTAGAGTGTTAAGGCAATTTTACTTGACTCAGTTAATAGATGGATGCATAAATTTAAATTTTTAACTAAAAATAAATTTTTTAAGGAAATGCAAAAACATTTGAAGGATTTGGAATCAAACAAATTCATTAATTTTTTAGAAAAAATAGAAATGTGTAATATGGGAAGCGTTAAAAGTATCTACGAGATGTTCGAAAAAAACGAAGTTTTACAAGCATGTTCGGAGGAAATCTGCAACGCTTTCTCGCAATATTCAAAGGGTTTCTATCACATAGACGTTGAAGATTTTTTTGGGATAAATTTGAGTAATGATGAGAGTGAATTTGAAGACCGATATTTTCATGAAGTAGATAAGAAGCCGATTGAAAAGAAATTGGAGGATTTTTTTAAAGAATTTGAAAAGGAGAGTTTATTAGAGCGTTTTGCAGGAGTATTTGGGAATGGGAAAAAACTGTTCAACAAAATGGTGGAAAACCCCAACACGAAGAAGGAAAAAATTGATTAAAGTGAAAAATTCGGAAGTTTTGGAAAAATCTGACACAAGGAAAAGGTACTTTTTTAATATCCCGCCCCTCTCTGTTTGAGTTTCAGATTAATTTTCCTATTACCTTATCTGTCTCAAAATTGTCAAATCTTCTTCTATTGAATGTTGATTTTTGCCGTTAATGTCAATTTTTTACTCCCTAACTTTTATTCTTTTATCTAAAATACTTGAGGAAAATGATTGAAGATAAAAGGAAAATTAATCTAAGATTCAAATAGGCAGACGGGGAGGGGTATTAATTAAGTACCAATGTAAATATATGCGACATTCATATGACATACACAAAAATGATTTTTTAAAACAAAACACAAGTTAAAACTTGCATCAGTTTGTATACTACTATACTATATTTTTTAAATATTTCATATTACCTCATTCACCAACATTCAACATATTCCTGTATAAACCCTCAAATTTTTTATCCACTCCTATACAGTCTAACAAGAACTGTGCGATATAAAAAATTTTCACAGATACGTGTTGCGACAGACTTCCTGCCTTGAAAACATAAGCTTTGCTTTTTGTGACAGGAGATGTCAAACTTTTGTGACTTTTTAGTTATCCCTTCAAATTTTTCGGACACTTTGTTTCCTTTACCGGTATCCGGTATTTCTTCCTTCCTCAATTTTTCTCTATCTCCATGTGGCATAATTCAATGATAACACCAAGACACTGTCCATAGACAGTGTTTTGGCCACATAAACCGGTATGTCTGTCCGTTTATTGTCTGTGCCGCGTTTTAGCCTGAAACGATTTTATATTTATTTGGTGATACATATGTATTACAGAGAATAAACTTTTTTTTATTAATCTCTTGTTGAATGATGCCGCAGGGAAATAGAGAGAAATTGATGAAGGAAGAAATACTGACCATTCTGCCTTATAAACGTTATAGAAAGGGGAATAAAGTGTCCGCAAAAGTTTGCAGAGATAATGGAAAAGACGAAAATAACAATTAAAAAATAAGCGACAAAAACGTTTGCTACTTTTCCCACAATTTTCCTGTCGCAATACGCACACAATTTTTTATTTTATATTGAATTGTATAATTCATTTTTAGTTATAGATAAAAAAAGTGATTCCGTTTTTTACAATGATATTCGATTGTAAAAAATTTTTATTCATCCAAATTTTAGAAAATTTTCTTTAAAATATTTAGAGCATTTAGAGAAGCTTTAATGAATATAGAATTTGTAGAAAATTAACATTTTGCTGTTGTTTCTTTTTTTCACAGTAGATCATCGCCTTTCGATCCCCTCCACCAACTTTGTAACGTCAATGTTGGGGGCCTCTGGTTCCTGCCTCGGTTTACCGCCCAAAATGGCAGCAATTATTGAAAAGCAGTGTAGGTCTTTCCAGTGCCTGGAGGCGCTTGAGCACAAATATTCGGTCTTATTATTCTGATCAATATTTATTTTCTAAGATCCCAATAATACCATAGAATATGCTAGCAATATTTATTAGTTTAGATTTCTCACTTAACAAATATTCGGTCTTATTATTCTGAACAATATTTATTCTCTAAGATATATTTATTGAACAATATTATTCTTTTCTGAACAATATTTATTCTCTAAAATTTATTCTCTGAAAAAAATTTTTTTGACTTGCGAACTTTGACTCAATATTTTTCTCCGCGCCTTTTACTCTTTATCCAAATAAGGGAGAGTCACTTCGAAAATTTTTTGACAATTTCTTTTCATTATTTATTTCTCTATCATATAAACTTTATCTGAGCCCAATATCTTTAATTTGAATAAAGTTATGCCAAAAACTAAGTGTCAGTTTCTTTTATGTCACCCTGTAGTAAAAATTAAAAAGGATTTAAAGAAAGATTAAGCTGACGGCTGTCAGTAATACCTTCAAAAGTAAGATGTTGTCTTTTGAACACTGGATGAATTCTACTGGAAGATCCAGTCTCGGCAAAAGTTGTCGGACCTAAAGCTGCAAAACACATTTAATGATTCCCGTAGATAATGGTTTATTCATTTTGTTTTATACATTCACGAAAATCAAGTGATCCTATCTAGGAGGCGAATGTTGTAATGATAAACATCAGTCCGTCAACATAGGATTCTTACTCACAGCCAGTCTCGGAATAATCCTTTTTATTTGTTGAGGAGAAATCAAACAAACGGCGCATAACTTAAGACTCTATATCTTTTTACCTTTACCTAATATTTACCTCACAATGTTTTCTCAAACCTATCTCTGTTTGTATATCGAACAATACACTTTTCAGCTTTATCAACAGTTTATTCTTAGGATATTTAAAAATTTATTTGAAAATGCGTGTATTCGAATTTGTTTTCATATTATGTTTTTGATGTTGTTGAAAGAAAAAACTGCAAACGTGTTTGTAATTTTACGATAAGAAACCCTTAAAACTTAATCAATATCTCTCCATCTTTACCCATCAATAACCTCTCATTATATTCTCTCTCATCAGTCGCATTTTCGCTACCTCTTAATGTGGGAGGAAGAGAGGAGGGGGGAGTAATTTAAATTGCTGACAGCGATATGGAGAGGATTTGTCAATAAAATAGTCTCTTTCTCCCTCATTTTCGCTATCACTAGCGAGATGGAGAGAGGGAGGGGAGTGAAGGAGAAGAGAAGGATAGATGTAATTTAAATTGCTGGCAGTGTCAAGGATTCATTAATTATAATAAATTTATTTATTTTTTATTTTTAATTTAATTAATTTATTAATTGTCAATAAAGACAAGCTAAAATATTTTTCACAAGTTTTATTAGTTCAGCTAAGATTATTATTGTTGTGTCCGCACTTGCAGAAATAACATAGATGAAAATAAATAACCCATAACCGGGTTATTAAATAACTCATAACACTACATTGAAAAAAAACCTTAGTTGTTTTGAGCAAATTATCCTTGTATCTTTCACACAGGTTTAAATACAGATTTGATCTTTTTCGAATTAGTTATCAATATCATTCATTCATATATTTCCTCAAGTTTAAATGTCTGTATTCTCTTATAAATACACAAATATAATACAGAAATTCTTAGCGATTTTTAGTTTAACTTATTAGAAATCATTTAACTATTTAAAAATGGGAAACAAATGCAATAACATAATAGAAAAATTTTTGGAAAGCGGTAAATTATAAAATATTTTTAAACTATACAATTTTATGGATTCATGGATATTGTTAAAAGCATGAAATTAAAACTCGCAGGGCTTTAGGCAGAATTGAGAGTGTGTGATTGTGAGTGAACTGACATCTATTGTCATTTAAAATTAAAATACACTTTTTTATAAAGTTTTTCCCTTTATTTTTCATTTTCAAACTTGATTCATTCGTTATTTAAACCTTTTTTAAACGTTTAAAAAATCGATAAATTTGGGTGTAAAACAAAGATAAGATAATGTTTAACGATTTGGCTAATATAACTTTTTTTCAACGTTTTTTTGAGATAAAGCCTCTCGGAGTTGCACCTCAAATCGGTAATAGTTCGGTTCGTACCCCCTCTCCCTCCCCTCTTTTTCCTTTCTAAAAGTATTAAAAAATGGTCTTATGTTATAGAATAGGGTTGTTCGAGACCGGTTTAAACGAGCCTTTTTGAACCCTGTGGCAGGTCAAAAAGAGAAGAGAGGAGGGAAAAGTCCGCGTGATTTTTAATTGATTAATTAATTAAATCAATTAAAAATTTCTCTATTTAACGTGACAATCAATTTTTGGGAAGGCTGCGGGCGTTTATGACATTCACTCCTCGTGTATGCCCTTTAATGAAGATGTTTGTTTCTGCATTTAAAAATAAATCCCAGGTAGCGAGACTAAATTTCAACCCTCACTTCAATGTAAGGGAGATTATTTGGTTCCTAAATAGTAAGGGAGATAATTATATAGTAAGGGATATATTATATAGTAAGGGGGAGATTATTTGGTTCCTAAAGGTTGTAGAAGATTTTTTGGACATGAATTTGTTTGAATTAAAGGATATGTATGTGTCTGATCACCTCGTACCATCTCCATTTCCGACCTCGTACTCGTACTTCATACCAAGTACGAGTACGAGGTATGAGTACGAATTTTGGTATAAGCTTTCAAGCACTGTTTATATCATTAAGCTTTCTTAGCTAATTCTAATGACGTTTAAACATGGCGATTCACTTTTTTATGAGCTGCTCCTTAACGATAATTTATAAATTGCTTCAAATTTAAAAATAAATATTTAATATAAATTTTATAAATT